CCGCCCCCCGCCCCCCCCCAGAAGCTTAGGAGGGGTGTGTGAAAGCTGGTGAGTGCTGAAGGGGTGGAGAGGGGCTCAGAGGGCAGCCGGGAGCCAAGCTGGGGCTGTGGGCAGCAAAGCGCATCCTCACCGGTAGATGAGGGTCTCATCTTCACTGCTGTTATACTGGATTTGGAACATCCACACAGGGTCGGCTGGCCGCCCTGGCCCCCAGCTCACCAGCCCTGAGGTTGCAGTCACCTCTGTCACCTGCACAGCTGGCTCAGACTCCAGTGTCCCCTCGCCCTCGGCAGCAGTGCGGGCCGAGGCGGCAATGTCCGAGGGCCCTGGGCGGCCCCCCTCAGCGCTGCCATTCCCGCCGTGGGGCAAGGCCAGCACCCGTAGCTCCACACGGGCTGTGGCCTCCCCGGCAGGGTTGGTAGCAATGCAGGTGTAGCCCCCTGCGTCCCCAGAGCCCGTCACCCCGATCTCCAGGGTCCCGTTGGGGAAAGCCCGGGCTCGGGAGGAGTTGCCAACCAGGCGGTCATCAGGGCCGACCCAGTGCATGGTGGGCGCAGGGTCACCGAGGGCCCGGCATCTCAGAGTGGCCCGCTGGCCCTCCAGCACCCAGAGGCGCTGCGTGTGGCGGGCGATGAGGGGCGGCTCGCAGGAGAACTCCCCCTCGGGCACTGCCCAGAAGTAGCGGCCGGCCAGGCCTGGAGGGGAGGCGCACGTCTCCAGGTCGTCGGGCCGGGCCAGCCTCCGCAGCCACAGCAGCTCGCAGTTGCAGTGCAGGGGGTTCCCGCTGAAGCTCAGCACCAGGGGGGCAGGTGAGGCCTCCGCGTCGCGCCCCCGGGAAAAGAGCGGGTCTGGTGCCAGCGTGGCCAGGCGGTTGGAGGTGAGGTCGAGACGGGAGAGCTGGCTGAGCTGGGCGAAGGCGCCCGGGGGCAGTGCGTCGATGAGGTTGTGGTCCAGGTTGAGCGTGTGCAGGGCAGGCATGGCACCGATGCCGGCCCAGGGCACCTGCCGCAGGTTGTTGTAGGACAAGTCGAGGTCCTCCAGGCTGTCCAGGAAGTCGTCGAAGGCCCCGGGCGAGATTCGGCCCAGCTGGTTGCCACTGAGGATGAGGTGCTGCAGGTTGACGGGGCCCCGCAGGCTGCCGGTGCCCAGCTCAACCAACCTGTTCCCGTCCAGATGCAGGGAACGTAGGCTCTCCAGGTCCCCAAAAGCGCGGGCCCCAATGCGGGTGATGGCATTCCGGGAAAGCGTCAGGTCCACCAGCCCTGTCATGTTCCGGAAGTCCGGTGGCCCCAAGGCCTGGATGAAGTTGTCAGCCAGCCGCAGCTCCACGGTGCGGCGGTCCACGTTGGGTGGCACGAACAGCAGGCCTCGGTGGGCACAGAGGGTGCTGAGTGATTCGGACAGGTTCTGGCAGACACAGGGCAGTGGGCAGGCGGCCGCTCCACTGGCCAGCAGCAGAATTAAGCGGGGCATGGTGAGAAGCTGGCCCCTGGGGAAGAACCACAGCCCAGGCACAGGTGGGGCTGGTGCGAACGCCCTGCTGATTTGATCCCAGGGGCCAACTTCTGGAGCCTGAAATGAATTGGGGATCAGGGTCAGAGGCCCACAGGGCCCCCCAGGGATGAAAGAAGGCTGGGGCCTGCCAGGCCCCCCACAACAAAGGTCACATTTCCCAACCAGGTAGGGGGGTCCTGGCCTTGGGGATGAGGTGCAGCATGAGGCAGGAAGCGGAGGTGGGCACTAGAGCAGGGAGGGTCCCGGAACTTCCTTTCTCTGGCGTCTCCAGGAATCGCCAGCCCCCTCCCTCCGCACCATCCCTCTCCTCAGGGAAGACACCCCCCCCTCCAAGCCCCTCCCTTGGCCCCGCGCCCCTCCCTGGCCAGCCACTGCTGTTGTGCCCCGCAGCCCCCCTCACCTGGTGTCTAGCTCAGGGGGAGCAGACCGGCCTCCCAAATAGACCTGTTAGCCCCCGCCGACCTCCAGGGCAACCTCCACGCGGGGCGAGGCCAGGGGCCGATGACCGCCCGCCGCGCTCCCCTCCAGCCCCATGGCGCTCGGGCCCTGACTGGCTCACTCAGTTCCAGCACAGCCTTTTTCCGGCATCCCGGCGGCGGCGGCTGACGGCAGCCGGCGGCGACGACGTGAACGGAAGGTGCGCGCCAGCGAGCGCGCTCACGCGGACCACACCACATTGGAAGGACAGGGAGAGCGCGGGATCCGCAGGCCAACTGGCTCCCCGAGGTCACAGGGACCACGCAGCCACTGCAAGCGCCCTGGGTGTGGCTCCGGATACGCCCGAGGCCCAGGCCGGCATCAGACCCGCCGCCTGATCCCAGCGCTACCGCAGCGCACTCCCCTCCCTGGCGCAGCGGGCGCGCGCCCCTGACCGCCAGCGCCCCGAAGCATCCCTGCACCGCGGGCGCCCGCCGCCGCTCACGCAGACGATCCTCTGCGGGCAGTAGGCCGCCAGCTCGCGGACCCCTTCACCATCTCCCGGAGACGAGACCTTTAATCTGTCGCTGGGCACCCTCCCCCAACCTGCCCACACATTACCCACACACCCACATCCCCGCACCCACAGGCAGGGCCGGGCGCAAAGCCTGTTGTTGGGACCCTCCTGAACACACGCTGAAGGTCACCCAGTGGTTCTGCATCGCGAGTCGTGGAGGGTCCCCAGCGGGCACAGGGCCAGGAGTGGGGGTGAGGGGGCTGAGACTTCCCCGGCAGGCCTGCCGCAGGGGTGGGAGAAGGGGAGCTCGGCCTCAGCTGGCGCCGTGCCCGCCCTCCTCCTTTCCTGGGCTCCCACTTGCCCGGCATCTCGGGAATAACCGGTCTCTCCGCCTCCGGCCCGATTGGTCTGCGCTACGCCGTTTCCCAGCAGGCCGGCGGTGGCACGCTGTTTGAGCTGTGCGTCTGATGGTCCTCGCCGAGCCGGCCTTCCCCTTCTGCCTGCCAGTCCGTTTCCTGGGCCCACGGTGAGTCGTCCCAGCTGAGGAAGGGCTCCCGGTGGGAGGATTTCAGCTTCCTGCACCACCCATGGCGCAGCGGGTGGGAGCACTGAGGTGCTCCAGACCAGGCTGGGCATCTGGATCGGCCTTCGGGGAAGCCAGGCAGTCGCCACTTCACTCCCACAGTATCTCCCTGGTTCTCAGGCTGCCCAGGTGCCCCCCCCCCCCACGCGTATCCCTTTCCCTTGTCTCCAGCAGTTCCCCGGGGGGGTGGGCAGCCACCTCCCCTCCCCGGGAAACACGGAATTCTGATTCTGCCTGGTAAAGTAGGTAACCTTGGGCAAGTTATTGTAACCACTGACACACTACTCATCTAGGCCAAGGGGGTATTAATTGCATGTACTTCTGTACCTCATAGGGCTGACAGGAGAAAGGATGTGGCCTGTGGGGGGTGTAGCCACCTGGTAACTGGAAGCCCTTCCTACATGTCGCCACTCCCAGGGCCTCAGTTACTGCACTTGTAAAAGGAAGGCACTGGATTCTAGCCCAGGTCAACTGATGCTCTGTAGCATTCGTATTTATGTTCCTCTTTTCCCCTTCAAAAATGTTTTCATTCCTTAAGTGTACAAGCATACTAGCATCCATCACAAGCCACTCTGTGCTGGGAGCCGGGGTACATAAGGAACCAGATGGGCCTAGTTCCTGCCCCCGTGGAGCTCACAGCATAGGGGGTCACATGACGTCTCCCCCAAAATTAAAAGGAGGAGGGGCCTGCAAATGGGAAGTGTTAAGGTGGAACAGGGTAGGTCTCTGAGGATCCCTCCCACCCCTATGTGGTTCTAGGTTCTTTAGATGATTTAATCGGTTTTATCTTCTCAAATGCCGTGCTTTGGTCCAGTTGAAATGTCCCCATTCCTTTAGGAGAGACAGGGACTAGCCTCAGACAGACTGATAGATCTGTCACATGAGACAGGCCCAAGGCAATGTTGGCTGGGTCCTGCTCTGCAATTCCTGTGGGGGAGGCACCCTTCCCACCTGAGGCTCCAGGTGATAGGAATGCTAGGTCAGATAGGCAGAATTTCTCAAGAGTAGCAACAGGGCCCAGCAACCCATGCTGGGCCTGGAGTCCCCACTGAAGTTGCCAACAGAGGTCATGAATGAGTGACACAGAGATGCTTTATCTGAAGTGACAGCCATGTGGGCACAGGCACGTGGACACTGGGATTCCACCCATGGGCTGGCAGTCCTGGGACATCTCTCAGTGCTGGCTCCTAGGCCCCAGGTGGCCCCTAGGTTGGACTTGCCCAGCTCCAGCTTCATGTTGTTCCCCAGCAGTTTAATGAGCAGAAATGAGGGCCCTTGTGCACAAAGCATGTGGACATATACCTCAGCACCCCTGCCCTCAAAATGGTCCCAGGTGTATGAAGAATGGAGACAAGTAAAAGCTGAGGACAAGAGAGGTGTTTTCCGACAGCCGATCCCACAGAAGCCTACTATTAAGGGGAGGGTCCAGCTCTGTTGTGAGGGTGGGAGGTACAGATGAAGGCCGTCAAGTTCAGACTTCCAGGAAGAGCTTACCGGGCAGGTGTAAAGGGGTGGAGGCATGAGAGCACAAGGCAAGTTTGGTGTGGCTGGAGGTGGCCGGTACTTGGAAACCTGGCAGAAGGCATGGCCTGGAGACCAGGGGTCACAGAGTCTAGAGATGGCCATGGTAGAGCTGTCTCTCTTGACCTGGTGACACAGGGGTGGGTGTTGAGGGTGACGGAGTGCAGGTTTTAGTAACTGGGTGCACAGTGAGGCGTGCAGCAGAAGGCAGAGGGGACTGGGTGAGGGAAGCCGACTTTGGACTTGATGAGCTTGTGTGAGGGCCACACAAGGAGAGGTGCCCAGGAGGGATTTCCGCTTTAGGGTCTTGGCTCTGGAGCTGGAAGCCCAGGATGAGGCCACCCAGGGAGTGTCCTGTATGAGAAGAGGCCCAGTGACAGCTCTGAGAACTCCATCCTGCAGGGGTGAGAGGAGCCCCCAGTGGGGACTGGGGAGGAGAAGGAGAGCAAGAGGTCTTGGAAGCCCAGGGCAAGAATGTCCAGGTGGGAGCTGTTAGCAAGCGAAGGGTGGGAAAGGGCCCACGGGAGTTAGCCAGAAGGATGGCCCTCAGTGAGGATACCAAAGTGTAGCTGTTGGGGTGGTAGAGGAGGGGCTGGCAAAGGTAGGGACATGTTTCAAGAAGCATGGCTGCATAATATGTCATGGTGCTATGAGAAAGGCCTGACCTGTTTTCTAGAGTGTGTGGTGGGAAGGTGCTTATTTCCAGATCCCTGATGAAGGAGGAGGTGATTCAGCACATGCTCTGGGGTGAGCAAGGGGGGAGGAAGTGGGCTCATCCCCCTAACAGCTTAAGGGACTCTGCCAGAATAGGGGGCTGGTGAGATGGGGAAATGTCATTCCAGAGGGATGAGGCCTCAGACTTCAGCATGGTATTCTGGGGAACTTGGAGAGCTGTGCTGGCCCAGGGTGGCACCTTCAGCCTCTCCTTTCCCCCTCCGTGCTCCATGGTGATGCCCTCCCACCCACCTCTATTCTGCAGACCAACATCCCCTTCCTGCAGAATGTGCTCAACAACCAGCAGTTCCTGGCCGGCACCGTGGACACCCAGTTCATCGATGAGAACCCGGAGCTGTTCCAGCTGCGGCCTGCGCAGAACCGGGCCCAGAAGCTGCTGCACTACCTCGGTCTGGCCCCAAGACTGCCCTTCTCTCCTCTCTCAAATGCCTCGCTCCTGGCCCCCTGCCTAGAAGAGCTTCCTAGCATGCCCTGTCCCTGTCCTCATTCTGGTCCTGCACCCTCCCACCTTGCTCACCCTCCTTGCTCCTGATCACAGGGATGCCCCCTTCTCCACCCATGCAGCCCTTAGTAGGTTCCCACTGCCTGGACCCAGGAGGCCTTGGCTTTGGAGAGGGCAGGGGTTAACTAGAGGACTTGGGATCCTGGAGGAACCTCTCATCCCCAGGCCCATCTAAATGTTACTCCTGCACTCAACTCAAGACTCTTCCCCAGCCTGTCCTGACCCCACTTCCCACTCTCTCCCTAGGTCACGTCATGGTGAACGGCCCAACCACCCCGATCCCCGTCAAGGCCAGTCCCAGCCCCACAGACCCCATTGTCCCTGCAGTGCCCATAGGTAGGTGAGCTCATTCTACCAACTTGTGGGGGAGGCAAAGAGGAGGTTGCTGCCTGAAGGATGGGTGCTAATGCCCGGGTCTGCCCTAGGCCCACCCCCAGCTGGTTTCAGAGACATCCTGCTGCGGGAGGGGCCCGAGGGCTTCGCTCGAGCTGTGCGGAACCACCAGGGGCTGCTGCTGATGGACACGACCTTCCGGGATGCCCACCAGTCACTGCTGGCCACTCGTGTGCGAACCCACGATCTCAAAAAGATTGCTCCCTATGTTGCTCACAACTTGAGCAAACTCTTCAGCATAGAGAACTGGGGAGGTAGGCTGGAGGAGGGCTGGAACGTGGGACTGCGCCTGGAAGGAATTGGGTATCCAGTGTGGCCCCACCACTGGCCACTCCAGGAGCAGCTAAAATGTTAACATTGAGGAAACTAGTGAGAAGCAAACAAGGCATGGTGTTCCATTTGTTCAGCAGTGACTCGTGCCCACTTTGGGCAGGCCTGGTTGCTGGGCATGAGATTGCATAGCTGAGATCCCAGTAGCTCAGGGTCAGAGAGGAGCCACGAGCCTGTTCTAGCATGGAGAACTGGTGGCAGGGTGGTACCCTGTGAAAGGGGGCAAGAGGACGCTGATCCTGAGCTACCCTCAGCAGAGGGAAGTCTCCAGGGGTTGGAACAGGAATGTGAAGGATCCTGGAGATGAGTGCGAGGGTGTCCGGATTAGAGGCTCAGGCTGCAGAGCTGCAGGGTGTGGCGGGGGCCCGGGGAAGTGAGGGGCTGACCTGGGCCTCTTGGTCCCCGTGCAGGAGCCACGTTTGATGTTGCCATGCGCTTCCTGTATGAGTGCCCCTGGCGGCGGCTGCAGGAGCTCCGAGAGCTCATCCCCAACATCCCGTTCCAGATGCTGCTGCGGGGCGCCAACGCCGTGGGCTACACCAACTACCCCGACAATGTGGTCTTCAAGTGAGCCTGGGGTTGGGTGGGCCGACGCTGCACAGCATGGTCCAGTGGGTGCCAGGCCACACTGCAGTGGCCTGCGCTTTCCCACAGAGAGCTTGACACTTAAGTCTCTCAGTAGCTGTATCCAGTGAGAGCTGCTATCTGGAAATTTCATGAAGTGCAGAATTCTAGTTGGAGAACTGAAGAACTTCTAGCTCATGGGGCAGGAGAAGCCTCAGGACTCCTTGTCCAGTGTTCCTTCTCCCTCAGACCACCACTCTTGCAAAGAATCCCTAGCTGATTCTTCTGACCTGGGCAGACTGAGCTGCACTGTACACGACTAGGGCAGGACAGCACTGCTCCATGCCAGATGCCTCTGAGGGGACCTGCCCAGCCCAGGCTGCCCCAGAGAAGGCCTTGTCCACACTGGGGTGCCCCCACACGGGCTCACCACGCTCCCTGCCTGGTCAGAGCCAGAGAGGGATGTACAGGGGAGAGTGGGATGGGGTTGACCCTTGGGCTCTTCTACCCACTCAGGTTCTGTGAGGTGGCCAAAGAGAACGGCATGGATGTCTTCCGGGTTTTTGACTCCCTCAACTACATGCCCAATCTGCTACTGGGCATGGAGGCAGCCGGCAATGCTGGCGGTGTGGTGGAGGCCGCCATCTCCTACACGGGTGACGTGGCTGACCCCAGCCGCACCAAATACTCACTGCAGTACTACATGGGCCTGGCTGAAGAGTTGGTTCGAGCTGGCACCCACATCTTGTGCATCAAGGTGCCTGGACCCACCTGTCCCAGGAGTCCCCCTGCCCCTTCCCCACCTCTCCCAGCTTCCCCTTCTCCCCCACTATGTCCCCCTCATATCCCCTACCACATACGTGTCACACCCCCTCCTTACCCGACAATGTCTCTCTTCTTGCCCCAGGACATGGCAGGGCTGCTAAAGCCAGTTGCCTGCACCATGCTGGTCAGGTCCCTCAGGGACCGCTTCCCTGACCTCCCGCTGCACATCCACACCCACGACACATCAGGGGCAGGTGTGGCAGCTATGCTGGCCTGTGCCCAGGCTGGGGCCGATGTGGTAGATGTGGCAGCTGATTCCATGTCCGGGATGACTTCACAGCCCAGCATGGGGGCCCTGGTGGCCTGCACCCGAGGGACTCCCATGGACACAGGTAGGAATGGCAGGAGTCCATGGCCATTTCCCTCACAGCCATGGCCCGTAGTAGTCCCAGTAGAGTCTGGCCTGTCCTAGAATCCAGATGATCTTTGCTGGCCTTACCCTCCATCACCCACATCGGAGATGGGACCTGAGCTGGCTCTGGGGTCCTGGGAGGAGCAGCTGGGAACTTGGCATATTTTCCTGGCCTCCCTGCAGGGATGCCCCTGGAGCGCGTGTTTGACTACAGTGAGTACTGGGAGGGGGCCCGGGGATTGTATGCGGCCTTTGACTGCACGGCCACCATGAAGTCTGGCAATTCGGATGTGTATGAGAATGAGATCCCAGGGGGCCAGTACACCAACCTGCACTTCCAGGCACACAGCATGGGGCTTGGCTCCAAGTTCAAGGAGGTCAAGAAGGCCTACGTGGAGGCCAACCAGATGCTGGGCGACCTCATCAAGGTGAGCTAGGCCCAGTGATCTCATCCCTGCCTCTGAACCTCCTATAGGTACCAAGCATCCTAACCCAGGGGGCTTTTCTTCTCAGGTGACACCGTCCTCCAAGATTGTGGGGGACCTGGCCCAGTTCATGGTGCAGAATGGGCTGAGCCGGGCAGAGGCTGAAGCCCAAGCAGAAGAGCTGTCCTTCCCCCGCTCCGTGGTAGAGTTCCTGCAGGGCTACATTGGCATTCCCCACGGGGGGTTCCCTGAGCCCCTTCGCTCTAAGGTAGGAAGGCCCAGTACAGTGTGAGGGTGGGGGTTGGGTACAGGCATTAGGCCTGACCCTGCTTTGCTCCCCAGGTGCTAAAGGACCTGCCAAGGGTCGAGGGGCGGCCCGGAGCCTCCCTCCCTCCACTGGATCTGCAGTTGCTGGAGAAGGAGCTGATTGAACGGCACGGGGAGGAGGTGACACCAGAGGATGTGCTCTCAGCAGCCATATACCCCGATGTCTTTGCACACTTCAAGGACTTCACAGCTACTTTTGGCCCCCTGGATAGCCTCAATACCCGCCTCTTCCTGCAGGGACCCAAAATTGCAGAGGAGTTTGAGGTCAGTGGCTCTGGCACCTATCTACGCCCCACCCCAGCACCCCTGCCCCTGCATCCCTAAGGACACCAGCACATCTAGAGCTCCAGGCTTTGGCTTGGCTGTCACTTGGCCTCACAAGCTGTACCCAAAAGCACTCTTGAGGAACCAGGAGGTTAGGCCTTTACAAGTGAGGAGCTGAGACCCAGGGCTGGGGGACTTGCTTGGGACAGGGTCAGGGGGCTGTTCTACTGAGACCTGTGTGTTCTATTGCCCGCCCCACCCCCTCCCGCCTCACCAGCTCTGAGCCTGCATGCCCTCCCTACAGGTGGAGCTGGAGCGGGGCAAGACACTGCACATCAAAGCCCTGGCTATAAGTGACCTGAACCGGGCTGGCCAGAGGCAGGTCTTCTTTGAGCTCAATGGACAGCTGCGGTCCATTCTGGTCAAGGACACTCAGGCCATGAAGGTATAGCCCTGCTAGGGCCAACCAGGCGGTGGGAACAGGTAGGGCCTGTGCCTCACCACTCCTCCTTCTGTCCTGTCTGCAGGAGATGCACTTCCACCCCAAGGCTCTGAAGGATGTGAAGGGCCAGATCGGGGCGCCCATGCCTGGGAAGGTGATAGACATCAAGGTAGCAGCTGGGGGCAAGGTGGCCAAGGGCCAGCCCCTGTGTGTGCTCAGCGCCATGAAGATGGAGACTGTAGTGACTTCACCCATGGAGGGCACTGTCCGCAAGGTCCACGTAACCACAGACATGACACTGGAGGGCGATGACCTCATCCTGGAGATTGAGTGATCTTGCCCCAGATTGGCAGCCTGGCCATACCCACCCCAAGCCTTCAATAGACACTGAGCTGCCAGGGCAGGCCCAGGCCAGCCAGTGCCCAAGGGCAGAAAGGCCTAGCCCTGGAGCTCCTGTCCTCAGCTGCTTGTGGCAGGAGACGCACTGCCTGCTGTGGCACATTCCCTTCCTCCAGCCATCTGTCTTTTCCCTGCTGGACAGCTGCTCACATATTCATCTCTTGCCAAATAAGGGTCCTCAACTTGGAGACTACAGGTGGTGGTGTAGGTGGGCCTAAGACCCAGGGGAGCAAATTTAGGGGTCCTACCTCTTGGGGGAAGAGCTAGGCTCCAAGTCCTGAGAATTTTGCTCAATAAAACTGGCTTCCCCTGCCCTTCATGTTGGGTCCTGTGCAGCCCCCGCCTCCCCCCCCCCCACCCCCACCCCAGCACTACTCAGCATAGGGGCAGGGCTGCCTTTTGGGACTCCCCATGGCAGGGGCAGGTCGGTTGTATCCTCCTTGGAGGGTAGGGGAGAATAGTAGTGGCCTTGGTTTCAGCCACTATAGAGTGCCTATGGTATATACACCCCAATTAGGATTAGCTAGTTGCATGGAGAGCTTGGACAAGGGTGTGTCGTTCTACGCATTTAACACCCATTAACTCAGGGAATCAATCACATTTTGTGGACACAAATGGGAGTCCCAGGAAGGTTAAATAGCTTATCCAGGACCCCAGAGCTAGTAAGAGGCAGAGGAGGGTCCACACCCAAGCTGTCAGTGGAGTTGCTTTGCTTCCAGCCACACTGCTTTACTTCCTAAACTCAGGGCCAGCCTGCTACTTCAATAGTTCAGGACTGGATGTGAACAGGCACCAGTTTCCGGGAGATGGGCAAAAAACCCTTGGATGTGGGAGCCTTTGGGGGAGGATATTAGTGGGAGGTCAGCACTGGATTGAGAGTCTCAAGATCTAATCCCGCCCATCCCCATAAGCAAGCTCTCAGGAGAATCGGTCACCTGCAGGGGGTTTGGCAACCCTGCATGCATCACTGCATTGCTACCCACCCCCAACCTCCACAGGGGAGGTGACGATGGTGAGGTGAAATGGGGGTGCTGCGTAGTTCTGAGCAGTAGCATGAGGAAGGGGAGGAGCAGAGCTTGGATCTCCCAACCTTCAGGGGACCAGGCAGGCAGCATGTCCCCAGCACTCTGCCAACCCAGTGCTCCTCAGGTACCACAACCTAATTTGGGGGGCAGCTTTGGGCTTCCTCCTCTTTGGACAACAAGATCCCAAAGGTACCCTCTGAAACAGCCCCATACTCACCCCATACCCCATCTGCCTCCCCAACAGCTGCTACACAGGCTGGGAGGACAGGAAGGCTCTCCACAGCAAGGCAGGTGTGTGACTATCAAGATGACTTTTTAGATCCAGATGAATGTCGTTTAGTCACAGCCAAACTGGGGGTGCCTGGGTAGTGACTGCACATCCATTTCCTTTCAACCACCAGCCTCAGGGAACAAGACTTGGGACAGCCTCCTTGAGTTTAGAGTGGGACCTGAAAGTATATCCTTTCAAAAATTAAAAAATCCCAGGGGCAAGGGAATGAAAATATGAGAACCATTCTAAAAAGAAGGTGATGGGCAGGTACAACACTAGAAGAGTCTAAGAAAGAATCTTGACTTACAGTGTTGTTTGGCAGGGTCCTTGCTGTTCTCAGGGCTGCAGCCTTTGTTCTGAGTTCCTCTAGGGACGAGACAAGCAGCACGGTGGCAGAGACCCAAGGCAGAGAGAGCCAGGAAAGCCTCTACTACCCAGGTGACCATGAGCTGGTTCCTCTACCATTTTGGACCTGTTATTTTCTCCTGTGTAATGTGAGGCTGGTAGACTTTGGGGAGGTCCTGGTAGAGGCCCCACAGTCGACCCTCCGCGCTCTCAGAGGATACAGGTTGGAGACTCCATCACTGAGGTCATGGCCCTACATTCCATCCCCTGACCCTAGTAGCTAAGGCACAGGCCCCAGGATGAGCTGAGTTCACACCTGGTACCTGCAGTCCCAGAACCCCATGTGCTACAACTTGGGGCATGGCTAAGAAAGGAGGAAGGCAGCCAGAGGACCCCATCCTGTCCTTCACTTCAGGGAACTGTGCCTCCCAGGCTGACCCACCCAGTGGTCAGTGTCCAAGGTAGCCAAGACAGGTGGTGGGCACATTCACAAGACCCCAAACAGATTGATTCTCAAAGGTCCAAGGCCATGTTACCCAAGTTAAATCTCTTTAGTATCTCAATACAAAGTCCTGATGCAAAAAGACAATGAGAAAACCCTGGGAAGTTGGGGGGAGGGATTTTGTAAATTCCACCCCCGAGCAGCTTTTCAGAGGCAGAGGGGGGCAGAGGAGCTCAGAAAAGCAGCAGTCCAAAGTGAGGAAGGGAGTGTACGGCTCCTGGGACCTGCCCCTTGTCCCCTCACTCCCAGCTGCTCCTCAACCCCCTTTGGAGAGGGGTTGCACCCTTTGGATATCTGCTCCTTTCTCTTGGTCCCTGGGATTCAACTAGCTCTGGCTTCAATCCCCTACAAAAATTCCTGAGATCTCGGGGACCCCAGCCAGCTCCTCCCCTGCAGTACCCCTTGACAGGGAGGGGCTGGGGAGCCCGTGAGAGTTCATAGGAGCATGTACGGGAGCATGGGTCAGGAGCACAAGGGAGCCTCTGAGTCTCCTGCCCGTTCCAAAAGCACACAAAGGGGAAGGCTGCCGTAGAGCTTGGGGTCCGTGAGGGGCTGGAGCAGAAGCAGGAAGAGTCCTACACCCAGGGCATAGCCTGCCAGCAGGGGCCGCCTCTGCGGATGTTCCAGGGCTGCACAAACGGCAGGAAAGCCCATGTAATTGCAGAAGGAGTGGCAAAGAACCGGCCCAATCAGGTGTCCTAGGGAGGGGAGACAGAGTAGCTCATGGAGCAGCCCCACCGCCTCCCAGGGCCAATCACCCACATCCCTGAAATCGGAAGTCAATGACCGCCCACACACACCACATGGCCTCTGCTCCCTTCCACCTCTCAGACTTCACCAGACTGAGAGCCCTGGCTCTGCCTGTTTCAAACACCATAGTAGAAGAAACTTGTCACTCCTACAACAAACACAGCATTCCCGTATTCCCACCCACTCCTGTGGGCCCGAGTCCCCAGGGACCCGTGAGAGACTGAGGACCAACCTGTGCGGATGAAGAGGAAAGCAGTGTAGGCGCCGAAGACAGCTGTGTAGGAGAACTGGAACGCTGGAGACGGGGAGGCCTCGAGTGACCACACCTGCATGCTCTTCCAGTCCCAGCACTGCACACCCATCAGCCAGAAACCTCCCCTTCCCCGAGGGCAGTGGCTGCCTGCCCCAGCACCTATGGCTGTCCTCTACACCCCAACTCCCATGGCCAGGGGCCCTTCCAATACTACATCCCTCTGTTCCCAATTCTTCCTCCAGAATGGCTATGAGGGACACCCCTACACACCCTAACCCAGGACTGCCCCAGGCAAGCTTTCTAAGACTCACCTGCAGACAAGATGATGCTCCCCACACTGCTCTGGCGGAATCGAAGCTGCTCAAAAATGTGGTGAAAATGGGCTGGAAGGAAGGCGAGAACCATGTCACGTTCCTCTATGCCTGCCTTATATGCCACACCCTTGCCCCAAATCCCAATTTTGGCTCTCATGTTGGGAACATCTCAACAGAACCAGGTTAGGCAAACTTACCAACTCCAAAGAAGAGTGGGCAGGTGAACACGGCAGGGCCCAGGCCCGTGCATGGTGCTAACATGGGCAGCATACAGGCCCGGAACACCAGTTCTTCTGTCAGGGGCGCAATCACTTGGTTCCGCAACCAACGCATATCCGTGAGGCAGCGGGCCCAGGAGCGAGGAGCTAAGGAAGGGATTCAGGACCACTAATCAGTGACAGGGTACGGAACAAAGAACTCCTAGAGGCCCCAGGGGACCCTTCTCCCACAGCCTTTCCCTTGACAAACTCAGACATAAATACTCCTGAGGAAACATTTAAGAGTCAAGCTTTGTTATTACACGCAGTATAAAACAATGTCTCGAGAACTGAAAGAAAAGACATGAATAGCTGAAGCAAGGTATTTTGGTAGCAAATTCTGGAAACATCAAAACCAGAACCCAAGACCAGCTCTGGTTTGAGGAAGCCAAAGATTAGGGGAGGAAGGAACAACACATTTTAGTCCACACAAAGTACTGCTGGGGGTTCCTAGGAGCCTCCTTGGATTTCAGAAACCAACTCTTACAGGTCATCTGTTACATGTTCCCATTTTACTGATCTGGAAACCAATAACATCTCCTACATCTCATGTCCAGGACTCACTATGAGGCCACTTATTCCCTTTCCCCACTGTGCTGGGCTGCCTGCTTTTTCTCCCAGCCCTTAGGACTCACCTAAGACAACCTTCAAACCATCTGCCAGGTCACATGGGCAATCCATAGAGAGCTGCATCAGTGGGCCCAGGAAAAGGATCTGGGGACAAAAAAGCAATCACAGAAATAGTTTAAGCCACAGTCCCACTACCCTAACCCAGAAGAGAACTCATAAGACTTAAAGCTTCCTATTCTTAGCCAGGATGTCCCACTCAGGCATACCCAAGGGCCATCTCACAATTTCTGTCGCCCATCAGTCAAAAGATGGACACGCGCACACACACAGAAAGGAACGTCATGCTAACAAATGGAAAAATAAAACAAGTACTCACCATGGTCAGCAGCAGGGGTAGCAGTGCTGCTGGGAAAATACCTTCCAGCCTGAAGCCCATCAGGGTGAGCAGGGATGTGCCTGGCTGAGCCACAGGAAAGGAGGCATCAGTCTTGCTCTCTCCTCTCAGACCCCTGAGATCCTCCCCCTCTTGCCCTCTGCCCCGCCTCCTTCGCACCTGGATGCCTGTGAGTTCTCTCCAAAGTAGCACGCACAGAGGCGAGAGGCTGGACACCACCAATACACTGGTGAAACGCCGCTTGATGACTGCAGGGTGGTCCCTACGGAGAGGGCAGTAAGTTCAAGGGCCCACAGCCTCCTCTGGACAGCGCGGCCCCGCCCCCGGATCGCCCAAGCCCCGCCCACAGCCCCGCCTCGCGGAGGCGCGGGTTCCGGCCGCGCGCGCAGCCCCCGCACCTGGGCAGCTCGCTCTTCCAGACGTAGAGGCTGCCCACGTAGGAGCAGGCGAGGCTAAGACAGGAGAACACAGACACCCAGCAGCACAGCCCAGGGCCCGGGCCGCCCAGAGCTGCTGACTCGGGCTGCCGATCCGGCCGCGACACCGACAGCAGGCGCAGCCCATCCCCGCCCAGCGCCGCCATCGCGCCCGGAGCCGCGGCGCGCACCAGTGACGCGATCCCGCCGCCGCTCGACCCGCGCCTGCCGCAAGTGCAAGTGATGTCATCCGGCAGCGCGGGAGCCCCGCCCCTGACCCCGCCCCCGACACTGAAGCAGAAGCTGCGCGCGCGGAGCAGGTTTATTGAACAACAGACAGCACGCTGCTCCGGCAGCTACCGGGCGGGCGTGGGCGCATGGGGAGATCACCCTAGCTTAGGGCTCAGGGCCGGGATCCAGCCACTCGGATAGATTGGAGACCTCCTGCAGCCATAGCGAGTCCTGCGGGAGGAAAGGAAGCTCGGGGTGAGGACCCATCGGCAGCGGCCGTCTCCGCCTTCCCTCTGCTCCATCACCTGCGCGGCCCTCGCCCGGTTACCTCCAGGCCGCCCCCAGGGCTCGCCCTGCTTCCGCTAGGGGTCGAAAAGGCCCCTGCAGGCTCTGTGCGGCGCGCGGCGGCCTCTAATTGGCTCGGGGCCCTGGCAGAGTGGAAAGCCTGCGTCTCTTCCATGCCCCGCCGGAGGCTGCCCCTCTTGAGCCTCTTGTTTTCCACTTGCTCGCTGGTTCCTAGACGAAAACAAGCCCACTTACCTTACGCCCACGGCCCAGTGCTAGAAAGATCCTTGGGGCTGAAGACACCTGGGAGAAGGGAGGAGCTGGTCCCGGCTCTCTTAGCCCTCCCATCTCAAATTCCTTTCATCAGGTCTGTCTGGATCAAAACTCGGCAGCCCCGGTCCTACAGGGCGAGGCTGCAGATTGGTTTCCATCCTCACTTGGGTCTTGCACCCACTCATTCTTTATCTGCACAGATTCCTCATGGAGTCTGCACTATCCAGCTCCTCCCTCCCTGCCAAGCTGTGGTCCCCCTGCCTGAAAGTCAGCCTCACCCCTCCCTTCGTAGCTCACACTGCGTTGAGCAGTGCCCACTGGCACCCTCCCTACCATTAACTGATGCACTTGTGCAAATTTAAAGGGAGTTTGGATCCATAAATTCTTTCTGAGCAGGTCCTGGGAATGTAGCTCAATGAACTGCTCCCTGGGTAAAACTCACTTATGCTAGAAGGGATTCAGAAGTGTGTACAAAGCCCAGGGATAGAACACGGAAAGAAATTGTTAACCATTCCTAGAGGTGGAGAAAGGTTTCCCTGAGATGTCTCAGCTGGGTTTTAAAGGATAAAGAGAAATATGCCAGACCAACAAGGAAGAGGAAAGGAATTCCAGGTGGGAAGAGGCAAATGCCCAAAGGCATTAGTTAGTATCCTCCATAAAATGCAAAAAAGGGGGGGGGGGCTCCTAGGAGATGAATCTGAAGGGGTTAGTACGAATCAGAGAAGACTTAAGAACAGGGATTTTTACTGTAGAAAGTGGGCAGGGAAGAATTTTAATAAGCACTGGAGATACATTGTTAATTTGTATCTTAGAAAGATTATTCTGTCAAAGGTGTTGGCTAGAGTCAAATTAGAAGCAAGAAGACTTTAAGAACCCAGGAGAGGGAAGGCAGCAGGGATGGATGGATGGAGGCACCACTTCTGACACTAGGTGTCAGAAGTATATTCATGAGGCCATATCGACAGGTCTTGGCGACAGAATAGGAGGTGTGGTACATGATAATGAGTGGCATCTTAAGTGAATCTCATTTCAGATGTGAAAAACTGGGTAAGGAGTGGTGCTGTTAATCATGGTAGAGGTAACAATGGGACCTTCACATGGACCTGCCTAGTGAGCAGATAAATCTCCCATCTGGCACTCCAGAGAGGCCTGGGCTGGTCATGCCAACTGGGGAGTCTTGAGCCCAGATGTAAGGTTCAATGCCTGGGATGGAAGAGAGCAGCGAGGGAAGAAGTGCTATACAAGCACAGTTTAGGGGTGGCCAAAGGAAGGTAAAGAGAACACTCAGAGGAAAGAATGACGTAAGTCACAATTTTACAGTGCTGAGTTTTGTAAATAGTTCATGTATGGTAAAGATAAATGTACAATTTGGTAAATACAAAGCCTTCCCAAACAAGAGAGGCCACAGAAGAAGCAAGTGCCCTGGAGATTGGGAAGGAGAAAGGGAGAGCCAGATTGAGAACCCTGGCTGAGATGTGATGGAGAGAAATAAATGGAAGAAGTTCAAGATCATGGGAGATTTTCTTTTTAAGTAATAAGAGATTGCCCTGCTGAGAGGAAAGACCTCAGAAGGGAAACTGAAGGTGCAGAAGTGATGGCTGATGCAAGCAGATCCTGAGAAAGCAACAGGGCTAATGCCACCCCTGAGCCTAGCAGGGATGGATCCCCATGCTGATACAGTTTGGGCACTAAGTGTGAAGTAGGAGGCTAAGAAGGAGTCAGAGACTGGGTAGATTATTGAAAGAATGGAGTAGCTGCTGATGAGGCCAGAAAGACGACACAAAGGACCGATAGCTGGAGGCCACCAGTAAATGGACCATGGATGTATGGTGGCATCATCCAACTTTCAGTGATTTTCTTTAGCAGAACTGCCCATGTGGGTGGGACACAGGATTGATGGTGACTGGAGCTGCAACTTTGTAAAGCTGAGCAGCTCAAGTAGTCTTCTGGGGAGGCGAGGGGGGGCGGTGGTTCACCAGATAATAAATGCCTAGATTTTAAGGCTTATATTGCAGTGGAGAAAGCATAGGCTGAAATTCAGATTATTTTCCTGGAGAGCACTCTACCCAGCCTGAGTCTGGGTTGTCTCTTGTGAAAGGGGACTACTGCTGCCCATACCAAAGGGTCACTGTCAGAGGGGTCACTGGAAAAGCCTAGCATCCCCCTGGGTCCATAGAAGGTGCTGGATAGAACGTTAATTTCTCCCTTCTAAGGGAAGTACTTATTCTTTTACTCTTCACTACATAAATACTGACTTGAATGTGGAATACTTTCATTCTTTTAAATCTCCAAATCTTAATGTATAAAAATAGATTCTTTGCTTTATTATGACAGCCTTCACTGCAGGGTTCTTTCAGTAGCCAACAGCCCCCACAACATTTGAAACATGGTTCAACAGACAGAATGATTCAGGAATACCTCTCAGGCCTAAGTTTGGACATCATGCAGTATGTTGTGGTTGTGACCCTGGAAAGAGGAATTTTACCAACAAAGTATAGGTGCTGAAGTCAGTCCCCAAATTCCCACAAGCCCAGGCTCTGTTTTGTTTGATGGTGCATCCCTGCTAGTCTTGGCTCTGGAGCCAGACTGCCTGGGTTTGAATTCTGGTTCTGCCATTTACTAGCTGTGTGACTTTGGGTGAGTCTACTGACATCTCTGTAAAGGTCTCAGTTTACCTGTAAAATGAGAATAGTAACACTACATCATAAGATTGTTTTCAGAATTAAGAGCAGGTGCCTGGCACCTGCACTATCAGTTTCAGGCACCTGTGGCTATGGTTATTTCCGGCCATACACACATCTCTCTGCCACTGGTGGCTCTGAAGGCTGTGTAAGTGTTGGAGGGAGAGGGGGAAAAGACCAGTACAATCACCACCATATCACACACAATGACAACTCCCTATAACATACATCAAGATTGAGATGGTATTCTGTACCCAGGAGTAGCTTCCAGAGCCCCAGAGTAGTAACCAAAACCAGGGAGAACAGCAGTAATGAGAAAAGATGTAAAGGAACCAACTAGATTCAGGGCCCTGCCCCTTCATGTGCAGCTATCTTTAACTGTACAACGTTACTAGGAATTTCTAGTTCTATCATACCAACTTTGGGGAGGGAATGCCCCCCTGCTGCTCCAGAACACCCATAGTGGTGGTAGAAGCCGGCCAAGTCCCATGATTTTGCTATGGTGTGGAAGGTGTAGTTTGAAAGCTTGAAGCCAATGTACCTTACTTCTGAGCTTTGCTCCTAGGCTCACCTGAGAAGCTGATCCCTTACCTGTAAGGAGTTCTGGACTGCTGTTCTCATGTGCATCTTCTGTGCTCTGCTCTGCATTTTTCTCTGGGAGTAGCTGCTTTAAAAATTAGAAGTCCTAAGTGAGTTTTGCAGGAACATGAACAAGCTGCAGTGAGACAAGTGTGCCTGGTGGCTTTGTTGGCCTCACAGGGCTGCCCTCCCTTACCTGGAATTCCCTCTTCCTCCTCGCTCATGCGAGTCTCCCCTACCCAACCCCAATCATCAGGGCTTCCTTGTGTTAGAGCCTTTGCAGCTCATTCCAGGTACTCCAGGCATTTCCCACCTCTTCTGACCTCTGGTAACTTGCTTACCATCTGCCCCACTCCTTGGGCTCTGAAGATGCACTGCCTGCCCTTATTTATCATTTTTATGTGTGTCCCATTTTCCACATTTTAAATTCCTTGAAAGGTAAGGTTCGCTGTGACTGCATCATTTTATAGCTAGCACAGTGTCTTGCATAGAGGTAAGTGATCTACATATAACTGAAGTCAAACCTGGGAAGCCTGGCACATTTTGTCGTCCTCTGTAGCCTTTCAAAGTCCTGCCACACTTGGTTCAATTTGGATAGAGAAACAAAAGTTTCTCTAAGCTTACTAAGATCAGAACCCAATCCTAGCTTCTTGTTTTTCAAAAATACAAGTATTTAAAAACAGACACAGTCTTCATCAAAATTAAAAACTTTTGTGCTTCAAAGAACACAATAAAGAAAGTGAAAAATCAACCCACAAGAATGGGAGAAAATATTTGCAAATCATATCTGGTAAGGGAGTTGTATCCAGAATAAAGAACTCTTGTAATTCAATAACAAACAACCTAATTAAAAGTGGGTTTGATAGAGTTGGAGACCTTTCTCCAAAGAAGAGATACAAATGGCCAATAAACCAATGAAAAGATGCTCAACATCATTATTCATTAGGGAAATGCAAATCAAAGCCACTATGAGATACTACTTTACACCCACTAGGATGGTAGTAGTAATAGTAATAAAATAACAACAATAATAATAGACAATATCAATAGTTGGTGACAATGTAGAAAATTGGAACCACTACACATTACTGTTGGGTAAGTAAAATGGCCAGTTTGGAAAATAGTTTGAAAGTTACTAAAAATGTTAAACATAGAGTTACCATATGACCCAGCAATTCTACTACTAGATATATAACCAAGAGATTTACAAACATGTCCATCCAAAAATGTTCACAGCATTATTTATAATCGCCCAAAAGTGCAAATAACATAAAGGTTCATCAACTGATGAATGGGTAGAAGAAATATGGCACATCCATACAAAAGGATATTACTCAACCATAAAAAGGAATGAAGTACCATCCCATGTTACAACATGAATCTTGAAAACATTATGCTTAGTGAAAGAAGCCAGACTACCTATTTTGATTCCATTTACGTGAACCAGTATAGGAAAATCCATGGAGACAAAGTAGACTGGTGGTTGCCAGGAGATGGAAGGTGGGGGAATTGGGACTGACTACAAATAGGTACAGGTTTTTTCTGGCATGATGGAAATATTGTGGAATTTAGTGGTAACTGTTGCACAGCACAGTGATTATATTTAAAGCCACTAAATTGTACAGCTTAAAATGGTAAATTTTATGGTGACTTATAACAATAAAAAATACTGTCAGGTATTGTTCATTAAATAAAACTTCAACTTCTAAGTACATTCCAAGGAACACAGAATGGTAAAGATGACCCTAACGGTGTGAAAAAAGAAACCGTATGAAGAAAATTTCCATTTTTTTCTTCGAGAGAAAGCTTTTTTTTTTTAAATGTTTATTTGTGTGTGTGTGTGTGTGTGTGTGTGTGTGTGAGAGAGAGAGAGAGAGAGAGAGAGAGAGAGAGAGAGAGAGAGAGACAGCGAGACAGCACTACTGGGGAAGGGGCAGAAAGGGAGACACAGATTCTGAAGCAGGCTCCAGGCTCTGAACTGTCAGCACAGAGCCCGATGCTGGGCTCAAACCCACAAACCATGAGATCATGACCTGAGCCAAAGTTGGACGCTTAACCAACTGACCCACCCACATGCCCCAAGAGAAATCTTATTTTCTTACTCCATTCTTCCCTGAAAAATCTCATGTAATAGGCAAAACTTTCTCTTATTCTGAAACTAATATCACCAAGGAAATTCACACTCAGATATAAAGCTCTCAGACCTAGGGGAATCTTGTATACCCTTCATTCATCATCAGATTCCCCCAAATGAGACAGCTCTATCTTCAGGATACACCTCCCTGGATTTAACACTGTGAGACATTTAATTCCCCTCCCTGCCTCGGGAAACAGTACCTTTCCTGAGAAAATTACCTCCTTGTCACTGCTCTTATTATGGGTTTATGTTTTCAGTCACTACAGACATCTGTGACACTAGCCCTGGAGAACTATCTTGTTTATCCTTTATGGCCCACTGTCCTATGTTCCAACACCCAAGCTATAAATCTCCACTCCTGGCATGGCCTTTTCTTAAATATTTTCTATAAAACTCTAAATACATATTCTCTCATTTCTTCTACTTCTCCATAAACTATATAACAGCCATAGATGGTTTTATTCTATATTATTCAAGAGGTCAGATATTCTACTTTATCAGTTTAAAAATGGAAACTGGGGAGGTGCCTGGGTGGCTCAGTCAGTTGAACAACTGACCCTTGGTTTCAGCTCAAGTCATGATCTCATGGTTCATGGATTTGAGCCCCGCGTCAGGCTCTGAGCTGACAGCACGGAGCCTGCTTGGGATTCT